TTTGCCTCCCGCACCCAAAGCTTCTCCATGTAAAAGACAAGAGCTTATGTCTAACATCTGCAAAATATTAGAAAGTATGCATCAAAATCCATCAATCTTTGGTTAGCTGTTTTCTACAGATCGGAATCAAACCTGAATAGCCAACAGTAAGCAAATCTTACAACATACATTTTTTAAAAACCCATACATTTAAAGATGCATATTTTCTGATGGAAAATATTCCAAATACAGAGTTGGGGAGGGGGACACCCCACATGTTTCATTTGCTTTGGTACAGTGAGGTAAGGGAAAGAATGCAGGATGAGGTGTGCTCCATCCACACCACCCTGCGATTCAATAAATTTTGTTCTTTAAACCCCTCCCCCCCTTTTCTGGTACCAAATTTACTCATCCTTGGAAAAAGGCGTCCAGCCATGCAAAAGATGCCCTCTTCTGCCCCATAGTGGAGAACATGAAGTACTGCAATGATTGGCCACAATTCGACCCAATGCTAAATTTTCCCACGATGTTGAAAAGATATTTATTCTTTAGGCTTAGTGTGTTTTCTGAGCATAGAGAGAGATATGGTTGGCCATATAGGGAAGATGTATGGATGTATTCTGGAAGAGGGGGGAACAGTATTCGGGTCCCCACAGAGGAGAAACGGGGGTATAAATAAAAGTTTTCCTGTTGTGTTTTCTTTCAGGAAACTTATTGGTACAATAAGCCAGATCGTTGTGGCTTTTTGCATGAGCGATTGCTGCTCTCCTTGCAATTTAACATGTGCTAACATTCTGGGAGGAATATTGTTTCATTTGTCTGTCGCATGCGATGCATTAAAAGCAGGACTCCATTGTACAGGCCGATGGGAAAGGTGTTTTTACCCCGATGGTCGCTCCGTCAAGGGATGACTTGCATCCTGTGTGAATGAGCCATCACAGACTAATCAGTGCAGGCAGGGCTTCTCTGCATGGCAGCACGAGAAATGCACAGCTACCCATATATACTGTTGCAGGAGTAACTCCCAGAATGAATTTTATTTTGTTTCCTTTCTTTCCCCCATTTTGTGCAAAGCGACTGACAAAATCAGAGGCTGGCTGAAAAAGGATGGTAGATGTTTTACCACTAATACTGCTAAGAATTCAGGGGGTTTTCACCAGTCAGATAGACTGCTCCTGCTCAGAAGGCTTTACAAAAACAGAAAACCCTGCTGCTGTTTAATAAGCACTGAGTCCCCTAGCTGTGATTAATTCCTTCCACCCATTTCAAACAGCCAAATGTGCTTAATTGGATTAGTTACCTACACTGACAAGAGCCAATGAGAAAATGCCTGACCTGCTGCCCTCTCTAAGCCTCTTGAGTTGCTCCCTGGCTCTTTTCCCCACCAGAACTTACAAAGTTTTTGCCAATCGTATCTTGACGTGGTTTCTGATTCCCAGTCTGATGCCTCTGCTGAAGCTGCCCCACTGACTAGAAGTGTGTCTACCCAGGCACAGTTTTCTCTAGCGGAGCTAGGCAGAGTATTCTCTGTTGGATAATGAAGCGGCTGAAGACCGCCTTACGTCCAGGCGTGTCTGGCTTCCCAAAGGATCCTTTTAAGGAGGGAAGTGTTGAAAGAGGAGCCCCCAAACGGAACGCGACTTCTATTTCTCTGCCTCCCCGCCCCGCCCCTTACGAAATTGCAGATAACTCCTGGTCAATGAGGGATCCTTTTTGTCTGGTTAAAGATTAACATTTTCCCCACCGCTGCAGTGAAGTCCCTGGAGGAGGCTTTTCTTCTCTCATTCCGCAAAGGCAATAAAGAGGAAAGGGCTGGTGTTTACTTTGGAAGGGAGGGAGGAAGAACAGTTGAAACCGAGATGGGTCTAGCACTGGCCAGGTGCCCGAAGGTTCTGGGAGACCAGCAGTCAGTGGCTCCCTTCCCTCCAGCGAAGGAGGAGATGCACACCAGAGAATCTGCAGATTGAGAGGGCAGGGAAATGAGCCCAGCAGTTTGCAGAGCGGGAAAGGGAGGCTGGCTGCAATTGGCATACGGTGGGGGTGCCCAACGCGGTGGCGCCCGCCACGTGTTTTTAGGCTGTGGCCGTGGCCAGGTGGGCCTTTTGCCCAGCAGGGCTTCTGACTGGCCACTGGAAATCTGACTGCTGCTGCAGATTTTTAAAAGCATTGCTTTGGCAGCGTCTGCCACTGCAGCACAAGGGTCTTTGCCACGTGACTGAAGGTGAGACGTGGTCGCCGTTTTGTGGCTGGCTCCACCTCCATCGGCAGCCATTTTGGGCAGCCATTTTTGTGGCTGCGTCCACCACCCCGTGTCAGAATTCCAAAGGTGTCCAAAGGCTCAAAAAGGTTGGGGACCCTGGCCTGGAGAATTCGTGGCTGGATGAGAGTGGAACGGGAACGGCAGTTTCTGTTCCACACAGACCTGTGCAGGCCCAGCTGCACCTAGCCCCCAGCCCGGGCACACATACTTTATCAGATACGGAGAGTGGCAAAAAAAGGTTCAAACCAAGGCTCCCTCTAAGCTGTGGCGTCTTCTGAGCAAAAGTTTGACTCTGTGAGCTGCTGGCATTAAAGTTGTGAGTGAGCGATTTGGCTACGGCACAAATCAGTTTGCTCTGGAGCCCTCCTTCCTGAGACAAAAGTGTGTGAGTCGGAGGCTAAAAATACTGTGAGCTAGCTCACACTGACTCAGCTTAATTTTTTTTTTAAATTTTAACTTTCAATTTCTAGACCGCTCAACCCCCGAAGGGCTCTGAGCGGTTTACACAGTACAATTTAATCACATTACATTACGATTTAATTACATTACCTCACTAGGGCCACACACACATTAAGGGGAATTGACTGCCTATCAGGCACCTGTGGCAGGGTCTTGATTCTTGGTACTGCAGAAGTTCTTCGTCCGGGTGACGACGTTTTCGGTGCAGATTTTTCCCTTTTGACCGCAGCGCCTCCTTCAGGGGATGAACCCTCAGTGCACGACAGCGCATGCTGACGCAGCTGGCCTCTGTCCTAATTGGCTCTGGCCTACCACGTCGCCCCGCCACTGCGCCTTGCTGGCCCAATCCCCATCCGGGCCGCTCGATTCGCCGCCGCCATGTCTCATCAGCTGCCGTCGCCACCACTCCGCCGCTCCGCCAACACCGAAGGAAGGAAGCAATGCTCCCTCTAAGCTGTGGAGTCTTGTGAGCAGAAATTCTGCTTCGTGAGCTCCTGGCATTAAAGTTGTGAGCGAGCGACTGGGCTACTGCGTAGATTAGTTTGCTTTGGAGCCATCCTCCCTGGGCCGAGACAGAAGTGTGTGAGCCAGAGGCTAAAAAAACAGTGAGCTAGCTCACACTAACTCAGCTTAGAGGGAACCAGGGTTCAAACTTATAGCCGGAGAATGAACAGCGAATTAACCTGCAACGTGATGATGATGGAGATATGGAAAGTGACACTAAATAACAAGCGAAGTTGTGGCAGGGCAGGGCAGGGCAGGAGCTCCTGTGAGTTACCTGACGAAGTGAGCGGAGACTCAGGAAAGCTCCGCCCCGGCCGCAGATTTTGTGAGCTTTCCTGGCGCTGCTGGACCATTCTCTTCTCTAGAGTCAGGCTGATGTGAGCCATGAGCCGGCTGCTGCCTGGCGAAAGACGCAACTGATTTTTTCAGCGCTGAGTCAAGGCTTGGGGGGGTGTGTGTGGGGAGGGTTACCCTTGTTTTGTTTGTGATCATTCTCGGAGAATACAAAATAAGATTTGGGTGCCAGATGAGAGGGGGAAAGCCAGATTTTGGAGTCCCTTTAACCCTTGCAGGGGAGGAAAAGACAGAAATGCCATCTTTCTTCCAGCGCTCTTGCTGACATTTCTCTTCCCCATCTGCCAGAGGGACCCCTGCAGTGGGGGTGCCCCACCCCACCGGCCCCGATCCATCCTCGCCCCACCCGTACCCCAGCGACCTCCAAGGCTGCAATCCCATGCATGCTAAAGGGGTTACTTCTGAGTAAGCGTGCATTAAACCCCGGCGGCCAGTGGGTTTAGGGGAGTTTGCCCACAGCTCTGTTGGGGGGTGGGAAGTAGCTCGAAGCTCCAACCATCCACACTGCAGCCGCGCTCCTCGCCGCAAATAGGTGCCGGGGCCCACCAGGGCTCTTTGCTGTGGATTCTGGCTTTGGAGCATTTGCAGGGTTTACCCTAGCAGAACCTGTCCCTGGCACAGGCCCGATCCTCTGACAGAAGCCAGCTTAAGCAAGGTCTACTCGGAAGCAAGTCCTATTGTCTTCCATGGGACTGACTCCAAGGGAGAGCGTGCGGCCTTGATCCCTGGGGATGGGGACGGTGAGAACCTCTCTCATCTTTCCAATGGCCGCCTCCCCTCCCGAGACGCGCTACCTAATCGCGTCCCCTGAGCATGTGCAGAGCGCCGCCGGACCCCGGCTAATCGCAGCCCTCAAGGTCTCTGCGGAGCCCGGAGCTCCGATTCCGCTCCAGCCCCAGGCCCTTTGCGCGAAACCCTTTCCCAGCCTCAGTTTCCCCATCTGCAAAACGGGTCGTCTCCCCCCTCCCCGTTCCACTCCAGCCCCAGAGTCTCAGGCGCCCTTTGCGCGACCCCTTCGCCGCCTCCGTTTCCCCATCTGCAGAATGGGTCCACCCTGCCGCCTCCCTGATTTGCAGGTTTCCCACGGGGCATAATCGTCTCCAGGCGCGCCCTCCCTTTCCAGAGCCTTGGAAAGCCCGGGGGAAGGGAGGACGCCTCCATCGCCACCTGCGCCCGGAGAGGGTGCGCACACACCGCCCTCTGCACCTGCTCAGAGGCCTCGCAGCCTTTCCCGGCCGCCCCGTACGCGTGCGTTGAACCAGCACCGTCCGCGCTCGCCCAGAGCGCGTCGTCGTCGTCGTCTGCGGCTGTGCGCAACGCCGGAGCGAAGCGGCTCTGAAGCTGTGGGCGCCGCCCCTTCGAAGGGGCGGGCCCCGCCGGCTCTACTTAAGGCGGCTCCGGGGTGTGCTCGGCTCAGTCGCTCGCCTCTCGCTCCGGGATCGCGCCTCTCGCCTCGCCTGCCTGCCACGGCCAGCTCTCCTCGGTGTGCGGTGCGCGCCCCGTCGCGGCTCTGTGCCAAATGCGCCTGGCGGAGATGATCAAGAAAATGGGTCCCAGCGAGGCGGAGCTCAACATCCCGGCCAAGAACTGCTACCGGATGGTCATCCTGGGCTCCTCGAAGGTCGGCAAGACGGCCATCGTCTCCCGCTTCCTCACCGGCCGCTTCGACGACCAGTACACGCCGACCATCGAGGACTTCCACCGCAAGTTCTACAGCATCCGCGGCGAGGTCTACCAGCTGGATATCTTGGACACGTCCGGCAACCACCCGTTCCCGGCCATGAGGCGCCTCTCCATCCTCACAGGTGAGACGGTGTGAAGAATAAACTCCGTAAGGCGAGCCGGCTCTTAAATCCCATCTCCCGACGGCGCCGAACTGGGATTTGAGATCTGGTGGTCCAACAGGTTGTCTAAGGTTTTGGGGTTTTGTTGCTCTCACCAAAAACCTCGCCTACCTGTTGGACCAGAGGGGGTGGAGGCGGGTGTCTCTTTTCTGGCTGCTTCTCTTACAATCCTCAAAGGACCCCCAAAACGGGTCCAGCCGTGGTGGTTTCGACGGGGCTTACTCTCGAGTAGACGCACGTCTCTTGCCCGTGGAGGCGGCTGGCTCCTCAATCAGGCTTGGTGCCGATTTCCTCAGGGCTCTTGAAAGGCAAACTTGTGCAGAGTTTAAAATCTTACTTTCTGATCTCCAGGGCTTTAGGATGCCTTAACTTTGCACACAGGATTGCAATGTTGGAGAACCTTCGCTTTGCATCGCCTGTAGAGTTGTAGCAAACCAGCCGGCATTGCTTTTGCAGCCAGCTTTCCAAGAGCCCAGCTCCTGTTTTGTCGCCAGCTACAAGCGAATTGCATTTCAATTAGGGGCTTGCAGAAGGGAACTGGAAAGTCCTGTCGAAGTTGCGATTCCAGGGAGCCCGGAAGGGAGACGGGCGGTAATTTATTGGAGAGGAAATGAAACTCGGGGATTGCAGAGTGCCCTGTTTGAAACAAACAAACAAAAATATCCCCTTCCATTTTCTCTCTGCTGCTCCTCCTCCGTGGAAAAGCAGCGAGGTGCCTCTTTCTGCAGAACAAACAACTCGGAAACTGACAATGTGCAACCTTTCTGTATACCCAAACAAAGATAATTTCCCAGGGTAGTCCTGTTGGTTTGCAAAGCGGAGCAGGTAGATTTGAACCCAGAGCTGACGAAAGGGAGCTTTGGCTCTCCGAAGCCCGTACCCTGCAAACCTTGTGGGTCTCTCCCGTGCCACTAGACTCAAATTAGCTCTACCGAAATGGCTTTGGAACAGAGGTCGAGTCCAGTGTCACCTTTAAGACCGACAAAGTTTAATTCTAGGTTCCGTGTGCGTGCACGCTCCTTTGCAGACTTCTTCGGGAATGGGCCGGGCTCGGGAACAAAGGGCTCTCCAGCTCGCCGAGGTCTAACCCTGCCTCTTTCTCTCTTCCTTCCTCCCCTTTTCCAGGAGACGTCTTCATCCTCGTCTTCAGCCTGGACAACCGCGACTCCTTCGAAGAGGTCCAGCGCCTGAAGCACCAGATCATGGAGACCAAGTCCTGCCTGAAGAACAAGACCAAGGAGAACGCCGATGTCCCCCTGGTCATCTGCGGAAACAAGGGCGACCGGGACTTCTACCGGGAGGTTGACCCCCGGGAGATCGAGCAACTGGTGGGCCCCGACCCCAAGAAGTGTGCCTACTTCGAGATCTCGGCCAAGAAGAACAGCAGCTTGGACCAGATGTTCCAGGCCCTCTTCGCCATGGCAAAGCTGCCCAGCGAGATGAGCCCCGACCTCCACCGCAAGGTCTCCGTCCAGTACTGTGAACTCCTGCAGAAGAAGCCCTTCAAGGGCAAGAAGCTGCTCAAGGAAGGGGGCGGGGAGGCCGGCGGGGAGGCCTATGGCATCGTGGCCCCCTTTGCCCGCCGCCCCAGCGTGCACAGCGACCTCATGTACATCCGGGAGAAGGCCATTCGGGGCGGGCAGACCAAAGACAAAGAGCGCTGTGTGATCAGCTAAGGGCGGCTTCTGCGGTTTCCCTCCTGGCTGTTTTGCTATCGAGACTTGGGCCGCCCGCGGGGGGCGTTTGCCTTGTGCCGAGGGTGGCGTCGCCCACCCCTCCCGGGCACTGTGCCTCCGACCTCCCCTTCTTTGGGGGGATGGGGACCCTTCTTCACCTGTTCCCCGTTTTTGGAGGAAGGGGTGTCGAGACTGCTGGCGGGGGGGGGCGTTCCCCGGCACAAGATGAGACTCTGGACTGGTGGAGAGATCTTTTGGAAACGGGATGCGGCAGGAAAGGGGGGGTTCCCTCCGAACCTCTCGGCATGACTAAGACTTGAGTTTTTTGGGGGGCGAGTCGTTGGAGGGGTGGCGTTCTGCCCGGGAGGGCGAGACCGGCCCGTGCGGACTTCTGGAAAGCCGTGTCTGTCTGTCTGTCTCTTTGTAACATTTGTGTGCTCTCAGAAAGCACTTTGAGAAGAAAACCTGTTTGCTGTCAAAAAGATCTTAGCAAAATTCTCCACTCCCTTTCTCCCCCCCCCCACACTTGTGGGAAAGGCGGACGGGGGGGGGGGGGGTGTCCGCCGGTGGGCAAGTTTTCTTGTTTACATTGTTTTTGTCTGTCTTGATTTTTTCCCCTCCTTGTAAAAACTGAACTTTTTTTAAAAAAACAGGCACTTTACGCGCAGAGTATTTTGGTCCTCAGACCCGAACAAAAACGAGAGCTTCAGTGGTTTTGCAGCGTGCAGCCGTTGTCTCTTTTTTTGTTATATTTTTTCTACAAAATAAAAAAAAACATTTTCAAACTATTTAATGGCTTCCGTCTGGATTTGGGTGTGATTCTCCAGTGTGGTTTGGGGTGGGGGGAAGAGGGCGTGGGTTGGTTGGGGGGAGGTGTGTGTCAATGGGGTGGAGAGATGGGGGGGGTTAGCAATCATCTTTCACAACAAGCCATTCTTAGGGGACCTCCCCCCAATTTCCAAGAGGCAGTATTGCGCAGTGGTTAAGGTGCTAGCTTTGACTTGATTGGGGGGGGTGGACACTGACATGGTGGTTGCAATAAAGTTGTATGATGCTTGTCTGGCATCTTTCAGGGGGGAAACCCCCCAAAAGAGAGATCTTGGAGACTGTGTTGCTTAATGGGTGGGGTGCTGGCTTTGGATGGAGTGGGGGTGGGGCAGGAAATGACATCTATGGACCCTGCGCCTCAGTTCCCATTGTCTCAGAAGCACTGTGTGGGCCTTGCCCGATTCCAAAAATGGATTGTGTTTTGCAGATCCAAGCCCATTCCCTGCCCGATTGCTGAATTCAATGTCACTGCACCCAGGAGAGCGACACCTACTGGCTACTGAACAAAGTAGCCCCCCCCCCCCACTCTATTAACCCTCACAGTTCCTGCTCACGTTAATTTGAAAATGGGTGATTTCACATCTTTATAACGGCAACATTCTGACGGAGGACCATCTAGGCTGAACATTGTTGCCTGGTGTTTTTTGTCAGGAACACACAGAACGGCCCACCCCCTGCTTCTTCCAGTATGGTTGCAACAGATACACTGCTCCTGAATGCGGAGGTTCTATTTCACTGCTGCGGCTAGTAGCCGTTAACGATGCAAGTCCTACAAGATGTCCCATGCCTGAGATGTTACGTCAGGGTTTTCTTTGGTTTCCCTCCCCAGAGACGCGGACCACAAAGTTTTAAATCGTTGATTAATGACTCTAAATAAGCCCGGGGTTGGGTGGGTGTTCAGTAAACTGAAAACATTTCCTTCGTAGAACATGAGTTTCTCCATGTCCTGGACAATGTGCAGAGCTTAAATATGACATGTGTTCTGGGACCTCCGCCAAAAAGGATGAAAGTAAACATGAAACCACAGCACACATCCTGCAGTGTTTTAATATAATGAAGAAAAAAAAATCTGAAAATACAAACAAGAAAACCCCTGTTTCAATAAACTAGCTCAGTTTAGAATGGTACAGGATTTATTTATGTATTGGGTTCGATTTGCATCCTGCCCTTCCCGCGAGCATACCTTCGGCCTGCACAGAACTCTTCAGACTGGAACTACCCTTCTTTTTTTTAAAAAAAAAAAATCTGAATTCTAATTTAGATGTTTAGGTTCTGTTTTCCCATCCCCTCCAGTCATAACCAGTGTTCCCTCTAAGCTGAGTTGGTGTGAGCAAGCTCACAGTTTTTTAGCCTCCAGCTCACGCATTTTCATCTTAGCTCAGGAAGGAGAGCTCCAGAGCAAACTGATTTATGCAGCAGCCAAACCGCTCACTCACAACTTTTAATTCCAGTAGCTCACAAAGCAGAATTTTTGCTCACAAGACTCCACAGCTTAGAGGGAACATTGGTCATAACAGCCCTGCAAGCAATGCTCCCTCTAAGCTGTGGAGTCCTGTGAGCAAAAATTCTACATTGTGAGTTACCGGCATTAAAGCTGTGAGCGAGCAATTTGGCTATTGCATAAATTAGTGTGCTCTGGAGCCCTTCTTCCTGAGCGAAGACAAGGCTAAAAAACTGTGAGGTAGCTCACAATAACTCAGCTTAGAGGGAACACTGCCTGCAAGATAGGCGAGGTTGGGAGAGAGTGCCTGGCCCCAGGTCACCTGGTGAGCCTCTGTGGCACAGCGCGGCATTCGAACCTGGGTCTCCCAGATCTTAGTCTGACTCTAATCACTACACCGCATTGGCTGGGCTTGAAAATCCCTTTCCCTGGATTCTAGCCTTCATTTTTCCTGCATGGGGACTGGAAAAGATTAGGAAGGGGTAAACCTATAGAAGGAATACACACACACACACTCCCTGTCTGCAGTTTGGCTGGAGAGATATTGTACTACTTTGCCGGTTCCGACACTCTTGAAATGCCGAGTCACAGTGTAAAACTGCCAGGTAATCTCGGGAGGGGCGGTGGTTTGGGGGTTAGAGCAGGGGTCCCCCAACCACGGGACCCACCAACGCTTTACCTGGCGCCGACTCAGTGGTTTCAGGAAGTGGGCGGAGCCAGGTGGGTCTCTTGCCCAGGACAGCTTCTGATAGGTAGCTGGAGATCTCATTGGCCGTGCAGATGAAAACATTGCTGCTTCTGTGGCGGTTTTATTCTATCTCTCACTCCTCTTTCCTGGGGCATTTTGTCTTAACTTTACTTTAATGGTACTGCAGACCATTCGGCTCTGAAAAGTGTCATGCTAAGACTAAAAAAGAAAAAAAGGACATTTATTTAATACTTGTGTCTATCCGTGTTCCCTCTGAGCTGAGTTAGTGTGAGCTCGCTCACAGTTTTTTAGCTTTCTAGCTCACAGATTTTTGTCTTCGCTCACTCGCTCACAACTTTAATGCCGGAAGCTCACAAAGTAGAATTTTTGCTCAGAAGACTCCAGAGCTTAGAGGGAGCATTGGTGTCGATATAGTATAAACTTGAATGATAACCTCTCTTCTCCTTTGCACTTGGACTTCCTCGGGAGGTAGAAGAAGAGAAGAGATTGCATTTATACCCCACCACGCACTCAGAGTCTCAGAGGGGTTTACAATCTCCTTTCCCTTCCCCTCCCCACAACAGACACCCTGTGAGGTAGGTGGGGCTGAGAGAGCTCTTTCGAGGACTGCTCTTGAGAAAACAGCTCTGAGAGAACTTGTGGCTGGCCCAAGGTCACACCAGCAGCTGCATGTGGGAGGAGTGGGGAATCAAACCGGGTTCTCCCAGATTAGAGTCCGCGCACTTAACCACGACACCAAACTGGGTGTTTTGTGGCTGCGCCCACTCCCCTGTGTCCGAATTCCAAAGATGCTCGCAGGGTCGGAAAGTTTGGAGACCCCTGAGACAGAGCCTCTGCTTGGCATACAGAACGTCTCAGGTTCAATCCCCGGCATCTCCAATTAAAAGGCTCCAATAAGGGTTATATGAAAGACCTTGGCCTGAGACCCTGAAGAGCTGCTGCTGGTCTGAGTAGACAACAGGCCGATGGTCTCTCTCTGTAGACGGCGGCTTCTTGCATTGATGCATACAAGGAAGTGAGCTGTTGTAGAGCCAGTGTGGTGTGTCAGGCCAGGCTCAGGAGATGTGGGTTCAAATCCCTATGCTGCCCTGAAGCTTGCCTGAGAGAGGCCAATTGCTCTCTTCCCATCGAACCTACCTCACAGGATTGTTGTGAAGACCAGGGGTCGTTTCGTAGAAAAAGAGCTAGGGGAACATTAGCATATGCCACACACCCTGACATCACCGGAAGTGTGTCATAAGGCCACACGCCCCGCCCCCAGCGTTCCCGGCTGCCGCCGGTAGCCTTGCAGCTCCACTGCCGAGCCCCATGAGGGGCCTGGCGGTGGACCTGCAAGGCTGGCGGGAGTGCAAGGAAGCCCCGCAAAGGCCCTCCCTGGCCCCAGGGAGGAAGCAACTTACCCTCCCTCTTCTCCTGCCTCCTCCTGGCTGAATGAGGGCCAGAAGCAGGGGGCGGGGCTTCGTCATGTGCCCCGCCCCCGTACCTCACCCGGGGGAACTGTGATCCCCCGCGATCCCCCCCAAAATGACCTCTGGTGAAGACAAAAAGGAAGGGAGAATCCGGTACGCAGACCTGAGTTTCTTGCAGGAAGACACTTCATTTAGCTTCATTTATCCTTCAATTTTCTCCCAAGCTGCGGACTCAAAAGCAGCTGACAAAATTCACACCTGTTTAATCCTCACGATGACCCTGTAAGGTAGGTTAGGTTGAGAACAAGAGACTGGCCCAAGGTCACCCAGCGGGCTTCCATAGCAGAGCAGTGGATTCAAACCTGGGACTCCCACATCCTAGTCTGACACTCTGATGCCACAAGGGATGACTATCAAGTTGCCAGCCTCCAGGTGGGACCTGGAGATCTCCCAGAATTACCACTGAACTCTGGAGATCTCTCCCCCTGGAGAAAATGGCTGCTTTGGAGAGTGGGCTGTATGGCATTGTGCCCCACGGAGATGTCACCACCACAAAATCTCCAGGAATTACCCAACCAGAGCTGGCTTTTACGTCTTTAAACAGGGAATGCCATACATTCTGGGAGGGTTAGCTCTGTCACTGGCTATTGGCCTCAAGGACCAAATGGAACCTCCATGTTCAGGGGCAGTAAACCTCAACAATATCAGCCGCTGTGTGAGGTTCTGCAGGAGAGGGACTTCGGCTTTCGTGCCCTGCTCGGGGCCAGACTTTTAATGAATCACGAAAGTTCTTTTGAAGCCAGAGACAATGGGGCGTTCCTTCGGCCCGCGGTGGCTTTGTTAGCTTCAATGAACTCCAGAAAGGGAAGAGA